GAAGGAAAAATAATGAATTTACCAGCCTTCTAATACTTATAGGTTACAAAGCTAGGCCATTTGAATGCTCATCCTTCACACTTTGTTAGACATGCACCCGGAAGTGACAGAACAGAGAATATATGAAAACAATACTGTGCCCACAAAACAAAACAAAAACACAAACTGTCATGAAGTAGTGCAGATTACATAGTAACTGAGTTGGAACTGGAAAAATGGGGAAATTAAAGTAAGGTAAAATCATAGAGCACAATCAAAGAAAAGGAATGATCATTTTCCCAAAATTCCAACAATACCAGCTTGAGATAAATGAGGCAAGCATCTTCACATACTAGCCAAAGGAAAAAGATGGGAAATCTGACCACCTGCAAAAGATATTTTTTTTTTACTCATTTTATAGGGGAGACACCGTATAGAGATTCAGGAACAGCTAGGTGGCACAGTGGATTGAGGGCTGGGCCTCAAGTCAGGAAGACTCATCTTCCAGAGTTCAAATCTGGCCTCAGCAGAACCAGGAGAATGTTGTACACGGTAATAGCCATGCTGTATGATGACTAACTTTGATAGACTTAGCCTTTCTCAGCAATGCAAGGACCTAAGACATCTCCAAAAGTCTCATGATGGAAAATACTATCCACATCCAAAGAAAGAACCATGGAGTTTGAATGCAGATCAAAGCACACTATTTGCTCTTTATTTTCTTCTGTTTTGTTTTGTTTCCTCTTTCTTGTGGTTCCTTCTATTGGTTCTAATTATTCCTTACATGAGTGCCACTTTGGGGAGGGAGGTGGGGAAGAAGGGGAAGAAAAATTTAAAACTCAAAAGCTTATGGAAATGATTGTTGATAAATCAAAATAAATTAATTAACAAATCTGGCCTCAGACACTTATTAGTGTGACCCTGGGAGCAAGTCACTTAATCCTGTTTGCCTTAGTTTCCTCATCTGTAGAATGAACTGAACAGGGGCAGCTAGGTGGCACAGTGGATAGAGCACCAGCCCTGAAGTGTCAGGAGGACCTGAGTTCAAATCCAACTTCAGACCAAACTTTGACACTTACTAGCTGTGTGACCCTGGGCAAGTCACTTAACCCCAATTGCCCAAAAAAAAAAAAAAAAAAAAAGAATGAACTGAAGAAGGAAATGGCAAACCATTCCAGTATCTTTGCCAAGAAAACCTTACGTGGAGTCACAAAGAGTTGGACGTGACTGAAATGACTTAACAACAACAACAACATAAAAGTTCAACCCTGGTTCTTCAAGGGATATGCAATCATCTCTTACCATTCTTTCTGAATGTTCAATCCAGGAGACTGAGGGTACTCTTGGGGAGTATTTCATTCTTAAGATGAAAAGAGACACAAAGTAAAATAAAAGTATCTACTGTGTCTAATTGCTTCTAAGGGGCTAGTTTCAACCAATCCAGGGTCCAAATCAGAGGTCATACTGTTTGCATGTCAGTGGGCCAAATTTAGAGTATGTTATGCCAAAGGAATTCCAAAATAGGATTATGGTGTTCTCCCCTGACATTATGGAAATCGTTTGTCTTTGAACTTGAAATCTGATGAAGAGTATCCTCTTTTTTTGGTTATCAGTTAATAAGGACTCACATTCGGCCCTGTTAAAATGTAAGCCTGCCATGACAATCTACTATAATTTTCATTAAAATTAACAACTCCACCAAACAAACTGACAAAGACAACAAAAGAAACAGTCAATGTTGAAGGGACTTGCACAGAGAAAGAAACACTAGTGTCTGCTAGCGAAGCTGTGGATTAGTCTTATCCATTCAGGAAAGTAATTTGGAATTAAAAAGTAAATACAATATCTATATCCTCTGATTCAGAAATTCACTGATAGGTGTATACCCCAAGGAAGTCCAAAACAAAAATAAAAGTCCCGTAATACACCAAAATATTTACATCATTACTTCTTGTGGTAGCAAGAACAGAAAACAACATAAATACCCATCTATTAGGAAATGGCAACATGTATAATGGTAAATGAATGGAGTGGAATATAACTACACCACAAGAAAGGCTAAATATGGAGAATATAGAGAACTATGGGGAGACATATATGAATGAGGGCAGAGTTGAAGTAAGCAGAACCAGTAAAACAATATACACAGTGACTACAAAGAAGAAACTGGGGAAAGAAAGGGAAAAAAAAAAGAAAGAAAATTGAGTATCATGTAATTTTAGCGATCAAGCTTGGACCCAAAGAAAAGAAGAGAAAATGCCTTTGCCTCCTTTCTCTGTAGAAGTGCAGGACCTTAGGAAGGTAATATAGTGTATGACATCAGATTCAATTTATGTGCTGATTAGCTTTGCTAAAATGTTTTCTCTCCTCTTTGTTTTTTATCTTTTGTTACAAAGGATTATATGGGGCACATGGGGGAGAGAAGAATTCCAGGGAATATATTCAAAAATGAAGATGATACATACATAACCTGTATCAGATTGCCTGCCCTCTTGGCAAAAGCGGAGGGGGGCGCCGAGGGAAAGAGAATTTGGAACTCAAAAGTACATTAAAAATGCATGTTGAAAAAACTATCTTTCTATGTAATTGAAAAAAATCTAATACTATTAAAAGAAAAAAGAAAAATAGAAAAAAAATGATATAGAAACAAAACCATTATTTATAATTGTTAAAAAACAGACCCAATATCTACTAACTTACCACCCCATAATTAAGTAAATACAACATAGAATTGTGTAGGCTTACAAAGGCAGGATTTAAGTAAGTCTCATGTAATCTGTATGAGGCCTAGCATATTAACCACTACTTAGAAGTTTTCCATTTTTTCTCCCTTGCCTTTTTCAAAATGAAAACTTCCTAATATGGTCTTTCTTGTGCACTTTGGCTATATGCCATATGAGTCAACAGTCTATGCCTTGTGGGATGAGGGAATAACTGCCAGATTTGAACTAGTTGGATTTGGGTCAATCAACCCGCAATCTCTTCACCTTGTTGCAGAAATAAGTTGTTCAAAACTGGGAAGGGGGGGTGGGGGGGAGAAGATCCAGGAACAAGCATCATATCTATATTTTAGATAACAACCAGAGACTAATTTAAAGAGCCAAGTGAGACTATCAACCCTGAACCTCTTAACTATGGACACTTTAGTGATTTTTCTTCTCCTTTCCTATTTTTAACTTCCAGTTAAAAAACAAACCCAAGTTCTCCTAGTGTATGAAATATTTTTTTGATACATTAGGGCAATATAAGAAATAGAGCTATGATTTCATTGATATAAACTCCCACAGAAGGAAACTCCCTCTATTAATTAGCAGATCAATATTTTCTCTGTAACTCAAGAGTCTAAGAGACTCGCTTAGATCAAAAGAGAGCCTAAGTGACTTGACCAGGGTCACAAAGCCTGTATCCTGGCTCTGAGGCCACACTCTTTATTCACTTTATAAAAAGTTTCAAGTATTTCTCTAAGTGGAAGATGGTTAAAGATTTCTCTCACTATGTAAAATCTACTAGCATATTCTTTTATATTACAGATATATGTGCATATGTATATACATATATACCACACATATACACATGTGCATTGAAGTACACACTTAGGAGAGGCATCATGGTACAGTGGATAGTAATGTGCCATCCTTAGAGTCAGGAAGACCTGAGTTTAAATCTTATTCTGATATATACTAGTTTATAATCAAAGGCAAGTCACAACCTGTCAGTGTTTCAGGCAACTCTCTAAGAATGGAAGCTAACAGTGAACTGCCAATTTGTGGTGGTAGAGGGAGTTTCCACACCAGGAGTGACCCACACCAATGAAATCACAAATCCAGACCCAAAAAATTACATTTAAGTAAACAGAAACAAAGAATGTTCTTACCACATTCATCTCTCAAAGTGGTTGTTAAGATCAAATATATAAATATCAAATAAATAAAGTGCTAAGTAACTTTTAAGCACTAAATAAATAAAAACTGGACAGCTAGGTGGCAAAATGAATAGAGCACTGGGCTTGTGATCAGGAAGACTCATTTTCATGAGTTCAAATCCAGGCTCAGACACTTACTAGCTGTGGGCAAGTCACTTAAACCTAATTTAACCCTGTTTACCTCAGGTTCCTGAACTATAAAATGAGCTGGAGAAGGAAATAGCAAATCATTCTAGTATCTTTGCCAAGAAAACCCCAAACGAAGTCACAAAGAGTCAAACATGACTGGAGTGACCTAACAATATGAGCTAAATCAATACGAAATTATTTTTCCTCTATCTTAGTTCAAAAAAGTAACGGGTTTATAATAAACGATACTATAAAACAGTAAAAAAGGAACACAACTTAATGCCCACATTTCTGTGTTGGGATACAAGTGAGATAAAGGATGAAGAGACATAAACTGAAGAGAAAAGAAACAGGATAAAATTCACGTTAACTGATTTTTCCTAGAGGATGAAAAGACAACATCATTTTGGTCCTGGATCCTGGTCCCTTCTCTGCAAGGCTATGTAATTACCTTTTCATTCGGGTCTAGACATAATAATTCCTAATCTTGTTCACTAATGGCTTTGTTAACATGTATATTTCAAGGTTTAAGAAGTTACAAACACTAAATCCAGTGAGTATCGGCCTCTTCAAATACTGAAGGGTAAGGAGCTCACTTGTGGGAAGGTCCTGGCTAAAAGTGAGGGCTACCACTGGACCTTCCTTTTCCTCTGGCACATTCTTAGAGTAACACAGCTTTTCTGCAACTAGACACTACTTGCTAAACTGCTGGAGGCAGTGCTCGAGCAGCTGCATTGGAAAGGAAAGACTGCACTGGACGTGTGGGCCCAGGTTACCACATGGTTAGACAACACCCACACGTCTTGAACAGGAGAAGAGAGATTCTCCCCTTCCTTCCTTGCTCTCCCAACAAATGGACCTTCTGTCAGATTTCCTCTTGAACTGTCTACCCACATGTCAATTAATTCCACTGTCAGAGAGAAACTAAGTTTCACTGTTTTTTTTTCCTACTAGTAACAGTAGATCATACCTGATAAGTAGATATTCTTATTTAATGTCTTTTCGATTTCTCTGTAGACTTCTTATCTGTTAAGAGAGAAGAAATCATCAGTATTGGGGGGAGGACTGTGATACTGATGCCTTTTGTTCTTGCATCAGTCATTTCCTAATATACTTCCTTCACAAACCCAATGTGTCATCGCTTAAAACAAAGAAAAATAGTTAAGCAAAATGACTGTATGAGATAATATATTTACCATTACACCTCTGCGGGTACCCATCTATCAACATCCCCAACAGAAGCAGAGATACAATTCTCCAATTCTTCAGGGACAAGACTGGCCATGACAATTACACACTATTTGGCTTCATTTGAGTGGTCTTTTAGCTTTTATTATTGTGGTCACTTTTTATACTGTTTTCCAAATTCAGCCTCACTTTATATCAGTTCATATGAATTGTCCCATGGTTCTCTGAATTCCTCATACGTTAACCTTCCTTACAGCTCAAATAATATTCCATTATAAAATAATACAATTTATTCTGCTATTCTCCAACTGAAAAGAAACTACTTTGTTTCTAGTTATTTGCTACCACAAGGAATACTATGAATATTTTGGTAGATGTTGGCCTCTTCTTGGTCTTTGACTCCTTTGTAGCACTGTATAAATTGTATGGAGGTATGTACATATGTAGGTGTTACGTAGTTGTTTTTAGATATATAGCTTTATACAGGCCCATCGTTGGCATTTCTGGGTCAAAAGTTATGACTTTTGGTGGCTTTTTTTTTTTTGGCTAGGCAATGGGGTTAAGTGACTGGCCCAGGGTCACACAGCTAGTAAGTGTTATGTCTCTGAGGCTGAATTTGAACTCAGGTCCTCCTGAATCCAGGGCCGGTGCTCTATCCACTGCACCACCGAGCTGCCCTAACTTTTCCTCCACAATTGAAAATTGTTTCCAAGAAGGTTTAGATTATTTCATAGTTCCACCAACAGCATGAATACCGTTATTTTTAAGAAAACTTGTTATGAAAATCCATCAAAGTTGGCAAGATTGCAACCACAGGAAACTGATGCACAATATTCCTACCATCTTATACTTTCTACTGAGAACTTTTAACTACCAGCAGCCCACATAATCTTAAGACACACAATTCTCATACACATTATTGCTATTAGATATGCTGACAAACCAAATTGCATTAGGACACAACCCAAAAAGTAAGCAAACCACTGGAACACTACTAAGGCCACGAGCCCTGTGGTGATTCAATTTCCTGACCTAAGCATCTTGATTCCTACATTCCATCAACTGAATACAACTTTAAAGAGAGGGAGGCTGGAAAAGAATAAACATCTATATAATGCCTACTATGTGCCAGGCACTATGCTAAGCAATTTTTACAAATACTATCTCATTTGATCCTCACAATAACCATGCAAGGGAAGTGCTATTATTATCATCATTTTACAGATGAGGAAACTGTTACAGACGTTAAAAGACAGAAGTTTAGTGATTTGCCCAGGTTCACACAGCCGAGTAAGTGATTCAGGCCAAATTCGAACCCAGGTCTTCCTGACCTTAGCACCAGTGCTCTATCCACTCTACAACTAGCTGTCTTCAAGCCATGTTCATCATACCACACTTACCATAATTTATAAATACAAGGGCAAAAGAAAAGTCAATTAGTGAAAAATCAGAATCCAAGACCAAAATTTACCAAAGTAAAATAAAGCAATGCAATAACACCAGAAGACAGGACAAATATTGCAATAACAATGAGCACAACCTGCCTAATACACCTCTTAACAATCTTAAAAGGGCAAAAAGATAATTCAAGCAGGAAATAAGGATAGAAATCAGTACAGAAATTTAGAGTAGTCTCAAAGAAAAATTTTAAAATACAACCAGGAGACAAGATAATTTAGAATTGATGATGCTTAATCTCTTCAAAGCAGTGAGCAAGCTGAAAAAGGTCTAAAGATTCAGATACAAAAATGAGATCAAAAATATGAGAATAAAATCTAAAGAGAACAATATTAGATTGAAAGAATCTACACTTGGACTAGACAAAAGGCGAAAGAATGCTAGAAATCAGACTGGTAAAAGCAAAACAAACCTAGTAATGACTTAAAAAAAGGAAAAAAATTAGCATTTGATGAAGAGAAAAAATAAACAATCATAATCTCAAATATAAGCAGACAAAACTTAGTCATAAAACAGATGAGAGCAACAAAAAATAATAGATGGGAAAATAGAACCCAAAAGTAAGCCTTGTGTTTGGTAAATAGCAGAAGAAAGAACAAGATTCAACAAGAATTTCTGGGAACAATGGAAAGCAGTTTGGTGGAAAGTAGGTTTATAACATCAACTTAACTCATGATGGAAAATGCTATCCACATCCAGAGAAAGAACTATGGAGTCTGAATGCAGGTCGAAGCAGACTATTTTCTTTTTTTTTTCCTTTCTAGTGGTTATTTCCATTTGTTCTGATTCTTCTTTCACAATATGACTAATGTGGTAATATAGTTAATAAGCCTATATCAGATTGCTTGCCATCTTGGGGAAGCAGATGAGGAGGGAGGGGAAAAAAAAAACTGGAACTCAAAATTTTATAAAAGTGAATATTAAAAACTATCTTTACATATGATTGGAAAGCTAAGTAACTTTCAACTTTTAAGCACTAAATAAATAAAAACTGGACAGCTAGGTGGCAAAATGAATAGAGCACTGGGCTTGTGATCAGGAAGACTCATTTTCATGAGTTCAAATCCAGGCTCAGACACTTACTAGCTGTGGGCAAGTCACTTAAACCTCAGGTTCCTGAACTATAAAATGAGCTGGAGAAGGAAATAGCAAATCATTCTAGTATCTTTGCCAAGAAAACCCCAAACGAAGTCACAAAGAGTCAAACATGACTGGAGTGACCTAACAATATGAGCTAAATCAATACGAAATTATTTTTGCTCTGTCTTAGTTCAAAAAAGTAACGGGTTTATAATAAACGATACTATAAAACAGTAAAAAAGGAACACAACTTAATGCCCACATTTCTGTGTTGGGATACAAGTGAGATAAAGGATGAAGAGACATAAACTGAAGAGAAAAGAAACAGGATAAAATTCACGTTAACTGATTTTTCCTAGAGGATGAAAAGACAACATCATGTCATGAAGAGTTGGACACGACTGAAAAATGATTGAAGTGGGAAAAAACTAAAATTAACAATTAACAATTAAAAAAAAAAAAACATCGTGGCAGTTAGGTGGTAGAGTAGATAGAGCTCCAGCCTTGGAGTAAAGAGGATCTGAATTCAAATGCGGCCTCAGACACTTGACACTTACTAGCTGTGTGTCCCTGGGCAAGTCACTTAATCTCAATTGCCTCATCAAAAAGAAAAAAAAAACTTAAACCATCTACTACAAACAAGGCACTCCATCTCTCGGCTCCAGGCCTTCCACCTTCACTGTCTCACAGGGCAGGAATGCTCTCCTGACTCCCCTCAGACTACTGACCTCTTGACTTCCTTTAAGTACCAACTAAAATCCTACCTTCTCCAAAAAGCCCTACCTCCTCCTATTTCCAATACTTTCTCCTCTGTTATTTCCTATACTCTACATAGCTTTGTATATATGTATTTTTGCACAATGTCTCGCCCATTAGATTGGAAGTTCCATGAGGACAGGAGCTTTCTTTTGCCTCTTTTCATATCTCCAGAACTTAGCACAGTCTCTGGTACTTAGTTGGTATTTAACAAATATTTAACAGATTGATAACCACAATAAAATCCAAATTGACAAATGATTTACAATAAAATCACACCATAAAAAATGAGAACAAAGCATCAGAGAGAAAACAATATTTCATAGCTGTGATAAGGAAAGAATTCATAACCAGAAAAGAGATGGTAGTTTATGGAAGATGAAACAGACCATTTCAGTTATATAAAATTTAACAGCTAGAAGAAAATATATGAATGGAGAAAAATCTTTGTATCAAACATCTAATAAAAATATAAAAATCTATAGTGAATTAACAGAACTATATGATGTAAGAACCATTTCCCAGAAGATAAGCAAAGGATATATAATCAGATGGGTTTTTTTTTATGCAAACCAATGGAAAAACTAGGTGGTACAGTGGATAGAGTACCAGCCCTGGAGTCAGGAGATCAAATCCAGCCTCAGACCCTTACTAGCTAGCTGTGTGACCTTGAGCAAGTCACTTAACCCTCATTGCCTCAAACAAGAAAATAAATTAGAGGGGATGTAAGAAAAGACACACAATTTTGCCATTAATCACATTGTGAACTGGTCTGACTTTTGAAAAACAATTAAGAATTATGTTATATGAGCTACTCAATGATCTCACTATTAGACTTATGCCTCCAAAAGGTTAATAACATAAAGAAATTTTTAAAAATACTTTACAAACACTTATTAAGTGCCTATTATGTGCAAGGCCCCATACGTACCAAAATGTTTATGTAATAACCAATAGCCAGGAACAAATCATGTGCCTAATGATTACAGAATGGCTGAACAGATGATGATATACAAATGTAATTGAGTTAACACTCTGCAAAGCAGAATGACAAATATGAAGAATACTTCAAAACATATTAGAGAATTGTATGGACTTATGTCAAGCAAAGAAAGAACATACAAAAAGTAGAAATTTTTTTTTTAATTTAGTAAAATACAACACAAAGATACAAATAATCAATACAAAGATATCATATCAAGGCCACATTTGATCAGAAAAGGAAATGAGCTGATCATATATTGAAAATAAGGGACAAGTACTATACTAGTATTCACAAAACATGAAAGCCTACAATTTGTTGGCTAGATCCTCTATGTGACAACCTATTAAAAGACATAAAAAAGAATAATATGTAATGAGAAGATATGACTCTATACCAGTAGAAAAAAGTACCCAGGCTAATGAGCTCTTGCAATCATTTATGTGGTACAGATTTCCAAAGTACGGAAGGAATAACTCTACCAATAACTAAATTATATCATTAAAATTCTACCACTTATTTAAAATCCTACCATTTGTCATATGCCTTCTACAATACCACA